CCTTTACTTGTTTTGCCTAATTTCTCTAAAGCATTTGAAATTCAATGTGATGCTTCTGGTATTGGTATAGGTGCTGTTTTAATGCAGGATTCTAAGCCCATAGCTTACTTCAGTGAAAAGCTTCACAGCACAGCTTTGAATTATTCCACCTATGACAAAGAGCTTTATGCTCTAAAGAGGGCCTTAGAAACATGGCAACATTATTTGTGGCCCAAGGAATTCATCATTCATTCTGATCATGAAAGTTTAAAGTTTCTCAAGTCTCAAGGTAAGTTAAACAAGAGACATGCTCGCTGGATGGAATTTATTGAAACCTTTCCTTATGTGATTAAGCATAAGCAAGGTAAAGAAAATATCGTTGCTGATGCCTTATCTCGAAGGTATACATTACTTTCCTATTTGCATGCTCAATTACTTGGTTTTGAGATTCTAAAAGATCTTTATAAAACTGATCCTGATTTTGAAAATATTTGGAAATCTTGTGAAAATCATGGATCTGGTGATTTCTTTAAATTTGATGGATTTCTTTTTAAGAAAAATAAATTATGCATTCCTATTTGTTCTATGCGTGAGTTGCTTACTAAGGAAGCACATAGTGGTGGTTTGATGGGACACTTTGGTGTAGATAAAACTTTGCTATTTTGTCTGATCATTTCTTTTGGCCTCACATGCGGAAAGATGTCATATCTGTTTGTGATAAATGCATTAAATGTAGACAGGCAAAATCTAAGATCCAACCTCATGGACTTTACTCTCCTTTACCCGTCCCCTCTCACCCTTGGGAACATATCTCTATGGATTTTGTAATTGGATTGCCTAAATCTTCTGCAGGCAAAGATTCCATATTTGTTGTTGTTGATAGGTTCTCTAAGATGGCACACTTTATTGCTTGTGCTAAGACTAATGATGCTGTTAACATTGCTGACTTATTCTTTAAAGAGATTGTTCGTTTGCATGGTTTACCTAAGACTATTGTGAGTGACAGAGATGTGAAGTTTCTTAGTCATTTCTGGCGTACCCTATGGCATAAATTAGGGACTAAGTTACTTTTTTCCACTACTACCCATCCACAAACTGATGGTCAAACTGAGGTAGTTAACAGAACTATGACTACATTATTAAGAGCAATAATTCAGAAGAATTTGAAGAATTGGGTGAATTGTTTACCTCATATTGAATTTGCTTACAACAGGGCTGTTCATTCTTCTACTTCTTATTCTCCATTTGAAATTGTTTATGGTTTCAATCCATTATCTCCTATTGATATTTTACCTTTGCCTTTCTCTGAGCATGCTAACATTGATGGCAAGGAAAAAGCTAAGTTTGTGCAGGACTTACATGCTAAGGTTAAAGCAAATATAGAGCGAAAGAATGAGCAATATGCCAAGCAAGCTAATAAAGGCAGGAGACATGTGATCTTTGAGCCTGGAGATTGGGTTTGGTTACATTTAAGGAAAGAAAGATTTCCTAATCAAAGGAAGTCCAAACTTCAAGCTCGAGGAGATGGACCTTTTCAAGTTTTGGAAAGAATTAATGATAATGCTTACAAGATTGATTTGCCTAGCTCTTATGGCAATGTTAGTGCCACATTTAATGTTTCTGATTTATCTTTATATGATTCTGCAGATTCGAGGACGAATCCTTTCCAACTGGGAGGGAATGATGGACCCCATGGCACGGGTGACATAGCATTAATGGCAACGAAACCTGAGGATGGTAATCATGAGCATGGTGACATAGAAGGAGCCCAATACTTCCAATCCAACGTACCTAAAGACCCATTGCAACATATTGGAGGTCCAATGACAAGAGCCCGAACTAAAGCCATGAAGCAAGCCTTGTTCAGTCTTGTGCAAGAAGTTCAAGAGCTTGGAGAGCATTGGGGCACTCCCCTCAAGTCCAAAGGAGAGCATCTATACGTGTATAATGTATTTAAGATCCAAACTCATGAAGAGTCAAGCCCAAGAGATGCAGACCTTAGCCCAATGCAAGGAAGACTGCAAGTTGAGCCTCTTGCATGCAAGGAGGCATGAAACCCTAGTAAAGAAGTCAAGGGTGGCGTGATTTCAAATCCTTTATCATCCCTTGATTGTCTCCTAAATTATTTCCTATTTTAATGGTCCTTTGATTTGATTTTCTATTTTGAGTCTAGTCAAAGGTTAGAATTAATTATAATATTAATTTCTAAATTTTGTAATCCCATAATTTTAGGATCACATCTCCTAAATTATGTGGCTGAATATTTTATCATTATTTCTCCTTTTAGTATTAGGAAATTAGGGTTTTAATTTTAGGAAATATTTTTTATGAGCCTATATAAATTAGGCATGCTCCCTATTGTAAACAACACAGAAGTTGAATGAAATTATTCATTTTAGAGTTTATAACTCTTGTGAGCCTTAGTGCTTTGTGGTGGTATCCTGTGTGAGAAACTGACGTGATCAAGAGCGTGATCAACTCTTGTGGTGTCTTCGAAGGTTGAGGTTCCTAGAGGCAGGTGCTCTAGAGGATCTTCTCCTTGATCATTATCCTATTGTTTACTTCATACCTTTCTTTATTTCCATCATAAATTTCGTCCCTTTCTTTTTGTTCTTGTGTTTTTGTTGTTTCAGGGTTCTGTCCCTAAACTAGCACGATTCTGCTTCCGCGTCCCTATCACTTACTGAATATATTAACAATGTTAAAATGTACTCTACACAGACATCATTAAAATAGGCCTCTTTAAATAACTGGAAGAGGTCGGGGCAAGATAAAATGTGAGGACAACATTTGAGTACCATAACTGTTATAGTCCCATAGAAGCTTTAAAATGCCTTGGTCCACAAAATGTTGTCAATTAAAGCAAAAGCAAATCTCGCAAGATCTCTAGAATGTTTCAAAGAGGAGTTTTTAATTCAAATTAGGAGGCTATGAACACAGAAAGCCGATAAGGGATGTGCAGAAATAGCTTCAGGTCTATAAAGTCAATCTCTCATGATTGCAAGATGAAGATACAGCACAGTAAGCTTTCTTTCTTCTCTTGAAGATAGTATACTGAATTTCCTAGCTTGGAAAATGAAGGAGAAAAAAAGTGAGGTTCACCAAAAAAAAAAAGTGGAGATCTTTCTTCTGTGATCCTATAATTTATAGATTTTCTTGCATTATATCTATTATTCCATTTGCAGGCACCTTTTAAAAAGAGATATTGTTCATTAAATTGCTGGATGACTTGTGTGACTAGAGTTATCTTCCCCGTATGAAAAGCTTAATTTCTATTATCTCAAATCAAATGAAGAAGGTAAATGCATTCCCAAAGTCTGAATTTCCTGATTTAAGAACAAAGATTTAGAGATCTATAGAATCTAAGAAACAAAACCTTGGCTTGAAATGTTTGAGGAATAGATGGGAAGTGAGCCAAACCATATGGCTTTTGAGTAGGGACAATCACAAAAAGTGTGATGTAAAGTCTCTAATGAATCACAACCAAATGCACAATGGACTACTAGAGTGAATAATTAAGATGATGCTTACACAAAACATCCCCTGTAGGTATCACCTCTTGAACCAAATTTCAAATGAAGAGGAGATTTTTATATGGCAAATGAAGTTTTCAAGGAAAATTCCAAATTTCCTCTCTTGCAAGAGGATTATCTTGAAGGCAGTCTAAAAAAATCCATCTTTAACAGAGTAAGAACCAGAGCCCCAAATTAAACTATCACTCTATTTAGTAAAAGAAATGGGGGTTCTTAAAATCAAGTTAGCCTCCTCTCTACCATAGAGATTATTTACTAGTGACACATTCCATTTGGCAACCATCAATGTTGATGGGTTAGTGATGATTAAATCAAAGACTTTGAAAATATTTAAACCAAGAGCCAAGTCTCTATTATTGAACTTCTACCAAGTCTCATGGGACAGTGAAATAAACTCCCCTTTCCTTGCATGCCCAATGAGGTGCTTTTTATTCAAAGCAGATGCTTTGAAAATATCTTTCCAAAACCAAGATGTATTATGAGGTATTTTATAAAGAAGCCTATTAATATTATGAAAATACTTGATTTGGATTGGGTTGCCCAAAAGAGAATATTCCTTTGCATTTAAAACTCTCCAAATCTGCTTAGCCAACAAAGCTAAATTCATATTTTTGGAATTCCTCAATCCAAGTCCACCATCTTTTGTAGGAGAGAAAAGGATATCTTTCTTGGCAAGATGGATATTCCTTTTACTGTCATTGTAACCCTAAAAAAATCAATAAGGTTAGCATCAATAGAGTCACAAAGATGCTGAGGAAGCTTAACACAAGAAAGAGTGTAGATATTAAAAGCAGATAACACCGATTTGATGAGTGTAAGAAGCTTGTGAAAGCAATTTGAGCTTCCAAGAGGCAATTCTCTTCTTAATGGAATCCATGATCTGAACAAAAATCAATGATTTATCTCTTTTAGCATCAATCCAAGTACCTAAGTACTTCCCAAAAGAGTCAGAGATTGAATACCTAGTTCATCGGCAAATTCCTGTTGAAGCTCAGTTGAGCAGTTAGGGCTAAGAAGCAAAGAAGGTATTTGCACACTAATAGAAAGCCCTGACCACTTGCAAAAGTTACAAATGATACCTTTAATGGTTTCAACCCCATTCCTCGTGTGTTCAAAGAAAATGGTTGAATCATCAGCACATATATAGTAGGTGAGAAACAGAAAATGAATTTTGACAAATTTTGATTCCTCAATTCAATCGTGTTGAATGAATTTTGACATAACATGTGTTTTTTTTTTTTTTTTAAAAAAAAGGCTGTTATCATATTTGGATGGGCAGTGATTTTCTGCAACCTGTCCAACCACAAACCAGAATAAGCAATAATTTAAAGAAATTTTGTTCGATCTAATCACTGATGATCAATATTTAATTTACAGCCATTTTGATTATGTAAGAAACATTTTAATTTATTCGATTATATGAAAGACTGAAATTGATATAGCAAATTTACATCGTAACCTTAAATATTCACCTGCGGATACAAAGGCTTGACAGGGGACAAGAATGTCATCTATGATGATCGAATTAACCACAGGGATACCAAACTCAGTATATTTAAACCAGTTTTCAAACATTACAATACATGTGCAAACCATATTTAACATGTAAAATGCATCTGCTGTGCAAAGCTTACATAACAACGGCAATTTTACATAGTATCTGCTAGTGCTAGATGTTTAATTTGGATCACTCAATTCCTCTGGCATACTTACTTGCCAAGAAATTTTCTCATAATCAATCACTATCTTGGGAACATGACATATTTTCCCCCAATCTTTGCCTTCGTCTTTGTGACAACGTTTCTTCAGTTCAGCGCAATCCTTCATCAAGAAAAATTCAAGAGAAAGAGGCAAATCAGAGTCTGGCAAAGCAAGTATACTAGGGCAATGGTTTAGTTCTAAATGCTTGAGGGAATAGAGGTAATAAAGCAAGGGAAGTGAAACTAGTAGAGGGCAACGTTCCACTTTAAGTGTGTGTAACTCTGGGAAGTCACCGTTTTGTATTCCTGTCCAATCTTCTAACTTTGACATGGATTCAATTGTAAGCTTCTGTAGTTTAGGAAATGCATGGTCTTGTTGGTTGAAGTCCTTCCTGCAAAAATGATGATCTATGCTTTTCAATTCAATCATTTCTACTATTTTCAAAACCTGAAGTGATGGCAGTTCACCAATAGATGGAAGGAATTTGCAGTCACTACAACTATGTAGAGTAAGATCAGTTAGAGAATCATATGAAGGATGACTAATCCAACTGGGAAGCTTAGAACCACAATAGCAAACAATCCTCAAGAATTGAATTCCCAAAGGAGGTTGAAGATGCTCAAGGATTTTTTCTTCCTCCTGATCTACAAAATTGTTTGAGCGAACTCTTCTATTAGTCCACCTAAGTTCCAACTTTCCCAGAAACTTCTTTTCTATCAAAGCAGCTTCCTTAGCTTCCTCAAAAGAAGAAACATTCTCAAGTCTTGAAATGCAGAATGCTCCAGCAAGATTAACTATATGCTTCAGTTCTAATATTCGGTTCCCATCATTCTTACCAACAAGAAATGCAGACAGAGTTTGAAGGTTAGTTAATTGACCCATTCCTATGGGCATGGAATCCAATGCCCTAAGAACATCGAGATCAAGATGCTTAAGATTGGTAAGCTTCCTCATATTCTTGGGCAAAGCCCTTAGATTGGAACAATACCTTAGCTTCAAAGTCTGCAAATTGTGAAGAGAAACCATTGCATCAGGCAAGAATTTAATGGGTGTATAGGAGAGGTCCATATAGATCAACCACTTTAAATTCCCAATGGAGCTTGGAATGATAGACAAATGGCTTCCAGACAAATTCAAAGATCTTAAGTGCTTCAGCCACAAAAACAGATCACGAGGGACTTGCTCAACAGAGGGACCGCGAGAAGGAAATATGAAGAGACTGCGAAGATGAACAAATTTTTGCATAGCCTCAAAATTCATTTGATTTACGCTATTACATAGTATAGATAGATGCAATATCGTTTCTGGAACGCGATAGAAATTGTTATCGGAAACCATGGCGTACCGGTTGTCGAGGAGAGCAGGTCGAAAAGAAGGCGGCAAAGTGGAGGAATCATTTACTTTGTACAGTAATCTCCCAATCCCAGGGTTCATAAAATCAGGAATTTTATCAAACCTAGAGAAAACGAGGACTCGGTGAGACACTAAAGAGTCGAAGACGTCACTTGCAACATCCTCTGCTTTGCGAGAATCATCTATCAGAGACAGAAAAAGTCCTTCAGCAATCCACAGTGAGATCAAATCTAGTTTGGTGAACTCAGAACCCAAAGAGAACAACGAACAGTGGGACACGAACGGAAAAAGATCCAAAGAAACATCGTGAGATTCATGCATCCACGCTCCAGTAAGTATCTGCTCCCGACTATGTAAGTCTGCAGGATTCGTGAACACTAATGTTGTAGGAGCTCTTTCTGAAGCACGAGATCTTCTTTTGGGAGGTTTTTTTGCCTTTGAATCTGATGCAGGAGAATCAACAACTCCAGAAAAAGATGATACTAATAAAAGCATCTCATCTGTTTGGGGATCGGATGACATTGTATCGAATCTCAGGGATCAACAGGAAAATCAAGGCAAGAAAAGGAAAGGAGAATCTTGAAATCTCCTTCACCGCAAGGTCCTTCTCGTAGATGGGAATGCAGAATGTCAATAAGGAGTTCGTCGATCTCCTCTCCACATAACTTCAAGCGCAGTCAAATTTTAGCTTACCGACAGTCGCGTTCGCAGATAGCTCAGCACGCGTGGCCAGATCGTGGCCTTTTATTTTACCCTAAAATGATCTCTATTTTAAATTAATTTTTAAATATTATATTTATTAATATAAAAATTATAAAAAAATTTGATGTTAAATTTAAAATGTTTAGATTACATTTATATAATATGAAAAAATAATAAAAAATTTTAATATTAAACTAAGTTATTCAAACTTTACCTAAATTGTCTAAATTATATTTGAATAGTCAAATTATAAAAATTTTAATATTAAATTGGACCTATTAATTAAATATGTACTAGTCAAATTGATAATAAACAAATTGATTAAAAATTTTAATAATTTTATTTCAATAAATGTAATTAAAAATAAAAAATTTTAAATTTAAATGGTCTAAATTTCATCAAAGATTATAAGTATCACGATTTTCATTCTTTTATGAATATAGAAGATCATTCAAATTTAATATCAAAATTTTTTATAATTTTTATATTAATAAATATAATATTTAAAATATTTAAAATTTAATTTAAAATAAATAGCAGAGATTATTTCAGGATGAAATGAAAGGCCACAACGCTGTGATGAGCATGATGAGTACCGAATGCAAATGGTCGATGGTCTCATTTTTTCCCCCCTTATGGCTATCTTGGCCATTTGAACGTGCCTCTCATGGAAAATTTAATTGTTGCAACATATTTATAGCTAGCCAGTTAATTCAGGTGCCCTGTGTCATTGATATAACTTAATATACTGAGAATTACAAATACAAGGTTAATCTATTAATAAATTAGGAGAAAAAAATGACAACTATAAATTAAAGAAAAATGATAAGTTAAATTAAATTGTTAATAAATCTTGTGATATTTAAATATGTTGTGTAATGCCTTAAAGTAATTCTCCCATTAATTTACTCTTTTATAATTTTTTTTAATAAGTTGAGACCAATCGGATTTAATTTAATAGAAATAAATAAAAACATTTTGTTTATGAGAATTTTGTTATATTTATATTCATCTCACTTGTATTTTTTGCCTTATTATATGTGTGCGTGTGTGTGTGGAGCTAGTATATAATATGTTTGAGTTGTTTAAAGAAGTGGCGGTGAACAACTAACTTATGCCTGGAGAGATATGTACAAATAAAAAAATTAAGAATAATGTAAGATTCGTGATGACTTAAAATGTAACTTAATGAATTATTTAAGACCTCACTAAGATTTGCAAGAGTTAATTCAATCTTAGATAAATACACTCTAATATACTGAAAATGTAATTAAGATACTTTAAAAATGGTTTTACTATAAGTAAGGAAAAATAACATAATTAATTTAGAGTCCAATAGATGAATCTAATCCCTAACATTATTTGATTGGTTGGTTATCCATTTTTATTATTGTTCTTTATTATGTGTTGGTTAAATATTAATCTCTTTTTCAACTATTTGCTTTTTTAAAATAATAAAGTTAACTGCTTTCTTCTGTGTTTGACTCCAGAAATATTCCAAGATTTATTACTATCTCAATCACTTAGAATACTTTGAGATTATATTACTACATCAATCATGTGCATTTACAGGAGAGATAACTTCCATTGCCGAATAATGATTTATAAATTAGGATTTTGCAAATAACCAGCAAGAATAAAGGTGTATATATGTATCTTTGTAAGTGAAGATCAGTTCAGGATTATGATTGCCTCTTTCAAGGATGATTTTTAATCATAGAAAAACAAATTTAATTTTTAAATATACAATGCTTCCGATTATATTCAATGTACACAATCTTTTTCCTTTTCATATGTTAAGTGCTAGTGGATGCCTTAAGAATTGTGAGGAATTACGAAATAAAATAACTAAGAAGATTTATTTACAAAAAAAAAACATTTTTGCCAAAAATATTTGCAAACCTTTCATTAAGATCCTGTATTTAAGAGAAGAAAACCTTTATTAAAAAATATTTTAGTGATAAAGTAATGAAATGAGAAAGAAAATAATTAGATAACAAGAAATTCTAGGACTAATGGAAATATAAGCAAAGCAATAGCAGAAAGGGTAAATTTTAGAGAGGAGTAACAGAGTAGGCTAAAGTGGTTTTCTAATCCACTCTCATTCATATATGTGTAAAAGACTTTGAGATTGTTCGCCAATCATAAAAGGTTAACACATCCTTAACAAAAAAAAAAAAAAAAGAAGGACTAACACATGGATTTTCATTGTATCCATACAAGCAGAATGACATTCATTAATCAAAATCAAGGATTCATCAATGCATTTGGTATACGCAAATAATTTTTAGTTAGAGTTTTGTTTTTTTGCAATGTATATAAATTAAGAATGTATATTAAGTTTGAATATTGAAAGCTTTAGATGTAAAAGAATGGTGTGAGACAATAATAATAGGATAGAAATGAATATTATTGTTCTTGTTTGTGTATATTTTAGAGAACAAAGAAGCAAGATTTAAATTTATCTACCTTTTAAAAATCCATTTTATTTTTTTAATTTTTTGGTTAAATCTTTTCCGATCGATGCCATTCCCTAACTACTCATAATTCCGCGTACATTGGCATTTGCATACACTCATCAACACAAGAAAAGGGGGAAATTAGTTACACTAGTAAATTACCCGTGCGATGCACGGAATCTTATACTATAATTTTTATAAATAAATTCAATCTTATGAGAAGATCTTTCTCAACAGAATAACTTGTAGTAGACATATTCTCCATATCATCTCAAAACAGTGGGGCTATGTAATTATCATATTTAATATTAAATATGCATATTAGAGTTAAGGAAATGGTAAAAACAAAATGCATACTGTGTAAACGGATATGGTGGGAAGCAAATTAACAAAAAATTATAATTAATGAGATCAAATTATCAAAGACTTTTCTATAAATAACATTAGAAGTTATATACATGAAGTGACCATCCTCATCAAGAACCAATATTTTTAAACTCTCCCTACTTTAGACATAACAAACAATAACACATAATTGGCTGTGGGTGAAAATATGACAAGGTAAGTACAAACTTTCATGACACAGGCTCTAGCCCTGACTCTTATCAGTAGTCAATACAAAAGCCAAACATAATGGAAAATTTCCTCTTTCTAATGGTAAATAGTAGCCTGGAATCAAATATACTTATAGTAATACACGACATATATATATATATATATGTTCACCCTTGCAGTTGATCTAGACATCTCTTGAGCCTTAATAACATGTTTTCTAGTTCGTGTAACTATGAAACGTGTCCCATTGCATAATCCCATAAACTTATTAATGTTTCACATCAAAAATAATTGGGGCACCCACTTTAAGCCTTATTTAATAATTCAAAAAACTTGACGTTGTAATTGAATTTAGAAAATCTTTAGAGTAAAGGCCATCAAATGAATTCATGTCCCTATCCTCTTTTACAATAAGGGTGTTCAAAACCGATCCGAACCAAAATGACTGACCCAAACTAATCTAAACTAAAAGAAACTAATCAAAATCAAATAACAATCAAGTCTGCTTCGGTTTTTATGATATGAGAACTAATTGGTTCGGTTCAAGTTCTGTTTTGAGTACTAGAAACCAAACCAAACTGAGCCAAACTTGATTAAAAAAATACTATTTATTTATTTATAAAATATATAATCATTTATCTACAAGAAGCATTTTGTTTTGAATTTTTTATAGTAGTAGATAAACATTTTTAAAGGACTTGAATGGAAATGCATAATATTAAATAATTATAATAATCATGCTATGACCATCATTTAATTATTTACAACTTAAAAGCCCTGTTATTCAATTTATCTATGAGAAGCATTTTGTTTTGAATTTTGTATAATAAGTTTTTCATTATTTATTAGAATATAAATACATAGATAAACATTTTCAAAGGACTTAAATGAAAATACATAATATTAAATAATTTTAGTCTTAAAAACTTATATCAATTTTTATGATTAATTATCGTTATTACATTAAAATTTTATTATATTTTATACCTCTATTATGAAAAAAAGGAGCTAAAAAGAATTAGATTTAATTTTAATACATAGCACCATTATGAAGATGGAAAAAAGGAAAAAAAATTAAATAAGTGTATTGAAGCCTAATCTAGACCTTAACCAAACCGAACCAAATTAAAATAAAACTGAACCAAACCAAGCTCCATAAAAACCGATCAAGTCCCAGTTATGAGTAAACCCAATAGTTTAGTTTGGTTTGGTTTTTGCCCAAAACCAAACCAAATTGAGCCTATGACCACCCCGATTTTACAACACTATTAAAGCTTAAGTATATAACTCCCTCTTTAAGGAGTAGGGACAACATGTACCTATTTATTTTTTCAATCATAGACAATGTAAGAGCTAATATAGCCATATATTTAAAACATGAAGAATTATAGATATTGGTAAGGAAATGCAAGAAAGTCGAATCAATAATGGACTTTATGGGTTTTTCTGAACCATCCAATAACAAATCAGTTAGGATCCTAATATCTATTGATTTTTCACTAACTCCAACAGTAGTCCTATCTTCAATTGAAATAATCTAGTTAGCAAAATCTTGAAGAACACTAATAGATGCTTTAATATTTGTTGCTAGAAGATTCATGCTTCTTGCTAGTGTAAGAAGTTGACCATTATCCTAGATGTATGAAGATTTAATGATAGCAAAAACAATGTCTTCTTTCGACCCACCTGGAATAACAGGAAATGTTTGACTAAAGTCCCTACCAAATACAATAGCTTTTAACTTTAAAATATCCTTTAAACATTTGTCAAAAGCTTCAAAATAAAACTTTTATGCTATTGGAGCCTTATCCTATAATAACTTTAGTTTAAGTATTAACAACATAGTTGGTCATAACTTCATTCTAGTCATACAATAACAACTATGTTATTATTATATTAACAACTTTATCTTTATTCTTAATAACTTTAGTTTATGTTTAACAACTACGATTTCT